TTCTATCATTTATCATCTATCTATCTATCTATCTATCTATCTATCTACCTACCTACCTACCTACCTACCTACCTACCTCCATCTGTCTGTCTGTCTGTCTGTCTGTCTATCTGTCTGTCTATCTGTCATCTATCTTTCTATCATTTATCATCTATCTATCTATCTATCTATCTATCTATCTATCTATCTATCTATCTATCTATCTACCTACCTACCTCCATCTGTCTGTCTGTCTGTCTGTCTGTCTGTCTGTCTGTCTGTCTATCTGTCATCTATCTTTCTATCATTTATCATCTATCATCTATCATCTATCTACCTACCTACCTACCTACCTACCTACCTACCTACCTCTATCTATCTATCTATCTATCTATCTATCTATCTATCTATCTATCATCTATCTAATCTACCTACCTACCTACCTACATCTATCTATCTATCTATCTATCTATCTATCTATCTATCTATCTATCTATCTACCTATCTACCTACCTCCATCTGTCTGTCTGTCTGAATTATTTGAACTGCTTTCTGCCAAATATATTTTTTGGGTAATGGGATAATAGGTGATTAAGTCAGTGATTAAACCGAACAGATGTAAGCCATCTAAGAAACAGAATGGAAAGCCAGAATGGTTATGATGTTGGATTTAGACCAGAGAATCCCAAGTTTAGATCCCATGCTGTGTTGGGTCTATGACAATTCATCGTGGCCAACTCATCATGGCCAACTCACCATGGTCAACTCATCATGGCCAACTTCTTGCGGGACATTCCCTTAACATCAAAGAAATGCCAGAATAGAATAATGCCAAAGGATGGGCAGAATGAAATGTCCATGATAAAAATTAAAATAGTTTTAAATTTGTTTTAAAAAAATTAAATTGAATTGTTAAAATGTCCTGCAGCGAGTTGTTCAGTGGCCAGTTGGCTGTGTCGCCAATTGTCCCATTCCGTCCTGTGTTGTGGAAATTTGCTGGATGACTCAGGAAATCCCTCTCCCTTTCAGCCCCACACATCTGGGGGAAGTTGCAGTTGTGGGAATACAATAAGCTGGAATCCCCAGATAAGTTGCCCTGAGCTCCTAGAGAAGTAGGAGTTCTCATGGTTTATGAACAAAACCACTCCTGCATTAAATTTTTGGCTTAGAAGCAGGGGTGGGATTCCACCAGTATAACAACCGGTGTGGTGATCGCACGCTTTGTGTGCAAATGCACGCTTCACACATGTTCGTGGCTAATATGCACTCTATGCGCACCTTCCACATTTCAAACAACTCTAATACTTACCTTCTACAGCCGTCCCTGTGAAGAAAACAGCGGAGGCGCTGTGCTCTAAACTAAGGAAGTAAAGGACAAGAAAGAATAGGCGCGAGTGCGCAGGCCCACATACTCATCGCAGCCAACCAGTTCAGAAGACAGCTGATCTTTAGAGCAAGTAGTTCATCTGAACCAGTCCAAACCGGGAGAATCTCACACCCCTGCTGAAGAAGTCTCAGGAAAGAAAGGACGAAAGAACCAAAGAAGAAAAAGAGACCGTTTGTAAATTACTTACAGACAAAATTTGGTCTCCTCTCTGCAGTTCACCACTGAGGTCAGCCGGTCCACCTGCTAGGATGAAGGACACAAAGATGCCTTCCCTGTCTTCTCCTCCTACAATATTAAAACCAAGCCCCGTTGAGCCCTTATGTAAGACAACCTTCCGAGGTTCCCTGTGAAAAGAAAAAAGAGAATTTGCTTAACTACTAAGTTAAGCTACTAAGGTGCCCTTCAATAAGTCTTTCCCAAATTCTTTTCAGAACTACATCCCTCGGGCCAATTTCACCCGCCGTAGCTTATTTCAATTCCAGGAAGTCCTTGACTTACAACAGTTCATTGAGTGCCTGTACAACATTACAAGGGCACTGCCAAAAAAAAAAGGTGACCCGTGACCATTTTTCACACTTACAACCGCTGTGGCGTCTCCATGGTCACCGGATCCAAGTTCAGACGCTTGGCATTGGACTCGTATATATATATATAGAACGGCTGCGGTATTTGCCGGTCGCGGCGATCCCCTTTTGTGACCCTTCTGACGAGCGGAGTTAATGGGGAAACCAGATTCGCTTAACGGCGGTGTTACGCACCGTAGTGATTCCCTTGACCAACGAGGCAAGAAAAGTCGTGAAATGAGGCAAACCTTGCTTAACAACGGTTCTCACTCAGCAAGAGAATCAAATTGGGCTCGATTGCGGTCGTAAGTCAACAACTCCCTGTACCATCCTACATGTAGTCCTTGACGTCCGACCACAACTGAGCTCAAAATTTCCATTGCTAAGCGAGAACAGTTGTTCAGTGAGTTATGCCCCATCTTATGACCATTTTCAGCATGACTGTTAAATGAATCACCCCAATTTAAGTGAAACATGCAGTTGTTCAATGAATCTGGCTTCCCAAATTGACTTTGCTTGCCAGATGCTCCCTAGGAAGGTCGCAAATGACATTCACCGCAACCACAGTGAATGTCATTTGCAATGACACTCAATACATCCCGATTTCCATGAACCCCAAGTTGGATCACATGACCATGGGGATGCTATAATGGTAACAAGCATGAGAACTGGTCGTAAGTCACTTCTTTCCACGATTGTCCTTATGGTTCAGGTATCGTCCAGTAGATGATGAGAACATGCAAATTTTTTCAGTGCTGTGTTTACTCTGAATGGCCACTAAATGGATGGTCGTAAGTCTAGGACTGCCTTATTATGACGGATGCATTTCCCTATTCATTCCACCAGGAAAACATCAGCAGCAATTTAAGACATCCCTAAATCCCTTCATTCCAGGCTTCTTTCCGTCATCCATAAGGCGTCCTCCTTGCTTGTTCACCGAGCAAGTAACAGAATAACAGCATGACAGAGTCGGAAAGGGACCTTAAAAGGTCTTCTAGTCCAACCCCCTCTCTCGTTTCAGACAAATGGCTCTCTAATCTCTTCTTAACAACCTCCAGGGTTGGAGCAGGAATACACGCCGATGATTTCAAGGGAAGTTGATCAAGTCTGAGAGTTTAGAGTTTTATGCTCCAGACGCTATTCCAACAGGATAAAAGCATATTCTAAGATGCGTTGAATCTCTTCGGGGCTCATGCCTAACTCTAAAGATTATAGCCAGGGGTGGGTTTTAATTTTTTTTTAGCAAAGTGCCCGGTTGCTGGGTGGGTGTGGCCATGGTGGGCGTGGCCTAGTCAGTCTCCTGCACCACGGTGTGGGGGGGTTTGCCCTCCCCGGGCTCCGGATGCTTTCCTCGAGCCTCTGGGAGGACAAAAATGGCCTCCCCGGGCTCTGGAGGCTCTCTGGAAGCCAGAAATGGGCCCATTTCCGGGCTTTCTGAACATCCGGGAGGCCCACTTTTCACTCTCCCTGGGCCTCCTTGTGCGCCCTGCACGAACCTGCGTCCAAAACGGGCCGCGTGGGGACTTCTGAGAGGGGAGGGGCAGGGTGGGTGGGGCCAGCCAGGAGTAGAAATTGGGGGTTCTCCAAACTGCACAGAATCTTAGCTAGGGGCTCCCCCAAACCCCTGCGAACCCCCAGCAGCCCCACCCCTGGTTCTAGCCTTTCCCCTCTGCACCAAGGCAGCAATTTTGCTTTGATCAGAAAGTTCTCATCGGCACAGAGAGAAACGTCTTTCTTCCCTTCTCAAAACCGATTGCAGCGTGAGGATGACCTTGGCAGAATCACTCTCCTCTCAGCAGCCCTGGTCCAAATTTTTCCTCCCTTGCAGAATCAATTCGGTTTTTAATGGCGTAATTGTTACCGAGCGTAATTCTTAGAGGCAAGCTATGGGACAGCTGTTCTGGGCAGCGTGGAAAGCTTTTTTTAAAAAAAACTCTACAGCGACACCCCTTCCTGGCAATGAATTATTATTATTTGTTTCCCCCCCCCAAAGGAAGTGATTGAAAAATCAAAATGTCCCACAGGGTGGTGATGCTGGATGGGAAAGATACAAAGCCACCCTCTGGCCTCCTGATCCAACGTTCTCATCCGCAATGCAAAACCCATAAATAGGTAAAATGAAACATATGGGTTTGAAGTTGTAGCAGATGGCCTTGTGGATCACAATTGTCACTGATGGTTGATGAATGTCCCCAAGGTGCTTTTTTTCAGGAGGCCAACTGGACTTTCTTTCTCTTTCCTTGAAGACATTTCACTTCTCGTCCAAGAAGCTATATCGGTTTCTGATTGAACGGTAGGGCTTCTTGGACGAGAAGCCAAAATGCCTTCGAGGAAAAACGAAGAAAGTCCAGTTGCCTCTTGAAAAAAAACAACTTTGGGACAACCATGACCTGGATGATGGAGAATCTCATGGATAATTAGGCTGGAATGAAAAGTAAGACCTTGATAAGCTATGAGGTGAATATTCCAGGCTATGTATCTCATTTCGTCAGATGCCATCTCAAGTATGGTGTCCAGTTCTGGAGAACATACTTGAAGAAGAATCTAGAGAAGCTGGAATAAGTCGAGAGATAGTCAACAAGGGTCTGGAGGGAACCATTAACTACATTGCATGAAGATGACACTGAAAGAGCTGGGGAAGTTTAAGGTGGAGAAAAGAGGACTAAGGCTGAAGATACAAGTAGTTTTCAAAGAAATGAAAGGATGTCTTTTGATGAGAGTCAAGATCTGTTTCTGTTGTTCCAGAGTACAGGACATAGAATAATAGCTATAAAGGAAACAGGAAAGCAGATTCCAGTTGAATTTTAGGAGGAAAAATCACCGACTTTAAGGGATGGAGTTAATCTTTGTTTCAAGATCATTGAGCTGGTCCTATCCAAAGACATTTTCATGGTCATGTGCCAGCATGATGTCATGGAGCTCTGTCACCAGTGTCAAAGTCACCAGTGGGCTTTCATGCCTTAGGTGGGACTAGAACTCACAGTCTCCTGGTGATGGGGGCAAAGTCAACAATTCTGAATCTTTTTCTTGAATACCAAACAGATTAGGCAACTATATACACACTGTCCTGACCACTTAAAGAAAAAAGGCAGCATATGTGACATAATAAACTATATTCAGGATATATATATTATATAGATATATATATATATAAATTCAATGGTTATGAATGAAAAAAAAGCTTAAACAAATGTCAATGGCAAGGATCCAAAGATTATAATATTGGTTCCCCCTTACCCTTCTATTGACATGGTCCTCTGGATATTCACGATGGGAGGCTGGGTTACAGAACTATGCCTGGAATGACTGCATGGAAAGGAAAAGGAACAGGAAAAGGGAAAGGGAAAGGAATTAATAAAAGTAGCATGAAGTGTTGTTTTTTTTGCGCATGGAGGTTCTTGGTCTTATTGCAAACAAAGTGGTTGGATGGATAACCTAAAATAGCAGGTAGTTGTAGATCCCATATGGATGCACCTAGAATTACTGTGCATCCAATGAGATTGAAGAGAACAAGAAACATAAAATAGGGCCATGGCAGTTGAGGTTGAGGTTCTGACATAATGCAAGTCAAAGAACTCTTTTTGGGAAATAGGATGTGCATGTTTGATGTCTTGACCATGAAAATTGATACCTTTGGCATTACTTTTCCATCTGGAATGTACAGAGATGGATTATCAAACATGCCAATTTATGGAATAACCATCTGCCCACTCATCCATCCATCCATCCACCAACTCATTCATCCATCAATTTAGCCATCCAGTGCTTTATCTACTCACTCACCCATCTATGCAACCATCCACCCATCTATGCATCCATCCATTCTTCCATCTATCCACCCATACACCCACCCATGCATCCATCCATCCATTCCTCCTTCCTTCCTTCCTTTCTTCATCCATCTTTCCACCCACCCACCCACCCATGCACCCATCCATTCCTCCCTCCCTCCTTCCTTCATCCACCCACCCATCCACCCACCTATCCACCCATCCATCCACCCACCGATGCATCCATCCATCCATCCATCCATTCTTTCCTCCCTCCCTCCTTCCTTCCTTCCTTCCTTCCTTCCTTCCTTCCTTCCTTCCATCTACCCACTCACCCATGCACCCATCTAACTACCTATCCACCCACCCATCCATCCATGCAACCATCAACCCATCTATGCATCCATTCATTCCTCCATCTATCCACCCACCCACCCATTGATCCATTCCTCCCTCCCTCCTCCCTCCCTCCCTCCCATCCATCCACCCACCCACATATCTTTTCATCCATCCACCCACCCATCCATCCACACATACTGTACATACATCTAACCACATATCCATCCACCCATCCACTATTCCACCCACTCACTCATGCATCCATCTACCCACCTATCCATCCATTCATCCATCCATCCACCCACCCACCCACTTATCCATCCACCCATACTATACATACATCTAACCACCGATCCACCCACCCATCCTCTATCCATCCATCCACCCACCCACATACTCATGCATCCTTCTAACCACCTATCCATCCATCCATCCATCCTTCCTTCCATCCATCCATCTACCCACCTAGCCATCCATCCACCCACCCACCCATCCACCCACACATACATACATCTAACCACCCATCCATCCATCCACCCATGCTTTCTAAAGGAACGAACTGCAATATTTTAGCTCATTCTAACTCTTATCTAAGCATTCTGGCCAAACCTCTCCAGCCTGCCAAGTACATGGACAGGAAACCAGTAATAGGGCTGTAGACAAGACTGGGAAGAACAACAAAGCAGCCTGGAAGGAGTGAATAGTAAACCAGTCCCATATTGTTCACTGGAAAACTGGATTTCTCTACCCAGTGCAATGATTCAGAATGGCGCTTCAACATTTGACTTTATCCCTTAACTGTAGCAGCATTTCAAATATACCATTATCCAGCGCCCAGGAATAAAAGCAGGCTTGCATCCAAGATCACCCTGCAATTTTACCTTAATGGCATGTATCAATTTATGAATCTTGAATATTTTTTTAGAGCTTTCAGCATCCGAGTTGTCTTTTTTCCTCAAATCACTCCAAAGGGCGGACGGAATAAATGGGAGAGATGGAAAGTATAATACACCGCTACTCGGGTCCCATTATTCTGCTTTCTGAATGTCTTCCTTTTCCGAGTTCACATAATAATACGTTGAGCCCTACGCGAGCTATATATATGTTGGATTTGTATAACATGCCAAGCACACACAGGTAGTCCTCGACTTACGACCACCATTTGAGCCCAACATCTCTGGGGCTAGGCAAGACAGTCGTGAAGTTGAACCTTGTCCCCATTTTACAACCGTTCTTGCCACCACGGTCGAGTGAATCTCTGTGGTTGTTAAGTTAGTCACGTGGTTGTTCAGCGAATCTGGCTCCTTCCCGTTGACTTCGCTCATCAGAAGGTCGCAAAAGGGGATCACGTGACCTCGGGACAAGGCAACTGTCATAAGTACATGCCAGTTGCTTAATGTCTGAATTTTGATCGCATGTCCGTAAGGATGCTGCAACGGTCATAAAGTGTTAAAAAATGGTCATAAGTCACTCTTGGCAGTGCCGTTGTAACTTCCAATGGCCACTCAACAAATGGTTGTAAGGGGAGGACTACCTGAACACATAAAACCATTCAGTTTAACACTCGTTGAAACTGGCATGAGCAAATGACTGCAACTTACCTGATGGAGCAGGTTGTGTGACTTTCACAATAAAGAACTTCTGAGCTGTATTTACCCAACCTGCTAGGCTAATTCCTTTGGAGTATTACGTATTCTATCAGCCCAGGGTGTGTGGTTGTGTATGGTTCAAGAGATATATAAATGCAGGTCGTTCACTTCGATAAATGTCTGTTCTAAAAACTACAAATTGATGTCTTGTGTGCACCTGGCTTTACATTACTTTTATGCAAGAGGACTGACTTGGAATTCCTATCTAAGACAGATTTCTTTTGATGAAGAGGGGGAAAAAATAACATACAGTGGAGCCTTGGTTCTCAACTGTTTTGAAAATCATCGAATTGGTTATTCAATGCATTTCAAGTCGAACATTTTTGTCCCAGTACTCATCATTTGTTTGGTACTCAATGCAAAAGGTAGAACTTGTCGGTGTTGGCTGTCTTGTGACTTCATTATTCCATATTGGGGAAAAATTGTTTGGAACTTATCATTTTTGGTACTCATCCTGCCTCCTGGGATCAATTGATGAGGAGTACTGAGGTACCACTGCATTTTGGTGAAAGTCAGACTGAACTTCTGGTGGCTACATGGAGATGCTCGTGTTGTTACAGAGCATAGAACAGAATAATAAAGTTGGAAGGGAACTTGGAGGTCTTCTAGTCTAACCCCCTGCTCAAGCAGGAGACCCTATACCATTCTGGACAGTCTGGTTGGGCAGTCTCTTCTTGAAAATGTCCAGTGTGGCCTCCATTGTCTTCTTCCACAATTTTTTTTTTTAGAATTCCAAGTCTAATCTACAGCTTTAAAATGTCCCAATGGTTTCCCATCCAGGTTATTAACCAAGGTTGCTTTGCTTTTCCAATTCAGCCAAGTTCTACTCTTAGCAAAAAAATAATAATTGTGGATTCCTGAGGCCTTTTGAAAAAAATGTCAGAACCCCAGAAACAAATTCTTCTCTTAAACACTCCTTCAGTCACCACATCTTCTTGCTGATTACACAATGTAATCTCTCTCTCTCTCTCTCTCTCTCTCTCTCTCTCTCTCTCTCTCTCTCTCTCTCTCTCGTCAAATAGACAAATAATCAGCCACATGGAACTTTGAAATATTGAAATAAACTTTGGCTTTCTATTGCCTATCTCAGATGTAAAATATGTCACTTGAAGTTGCTTGCCCATCCTTGGTTCCTCATTTCATTAAAAAAAAAAAGCTAGTTATTTTGAGATCTTTAGGGGGAGAAAAGCACGCACATTGATTAAACGCAAGTTGTCTTCAGGAGGGGGAGCAATTATAATCATATCTCTGGCAGAAAAGCCCTGATGGATCAGATTGGGCTCAATCTGCATATATGTAAATGGCATCACATCATGCCTAGAGTTACGATTCCGTGCAGATTAACAGCATGCTGAAACACAACTGTCTGTAAATATCAGAAAGAAACAGAAAACAAACAAACGACAGCCACCAGGAGAGAACGGAATACAGAAATAAAGGTGACGAATGAATGAACGGAAAATTAGCATGAACTAATGGGAATCGTAGGGAATCATAGCTTATATTCAAAAAACCAAATTCCAACAGAATTCTAGGCCAAGGCCCTAATTTCATCTTGGCACACCTCTGGAGATGTGACGCAAACATATACCAGGAACTGCTCTTGAGATAAGGTGCTTATTGAATTGCAGGCAGAGGAACAAAGCTCTGTTCTTTGCTTTAAGGCCTGGAAAGGCTAGTTGTATGAAATTCAAGAAGGCTTCATCCCAAGGTAAATTAATAAGAATTACGGTATTAAGGTTAGAATCCTATGTAGCATGACTTCCCCTGCTCTGTTGATATCATCATCCTCATTTAATGATCCCATAATCCCTTGGGGCATGGAGTCTGGGCAACTGAATGGAGCCGAGTGTTTACTGGCCGGATGCCCTTCCTGTCACCAATGTGGAGTTATATTCAGCAGATATATTCTCATAGTGTGCCCAGAGAGAGAGAAATAACTGCCTCTACCTAGGTTCGAACTCACAGCTTCCTGATTGTGAGGCGAGAGCTCCACCTCTAGGCCACCGCACCACGCTGCTCTGTGAATATACCAATCACCCTTCTCTAAAAGAGATCACTCTGTGCAAAGTGATCTGGGAACGTATAAGACTATAAAATACGATTGAAAAAACCGCTCTCTAAAACACAGGGTGGAGTTGAATGGAATCATAGCGCGAGCAGGAGAATTGTAAGAGAAAAAGATGATTGATGAATGAATGGCTTCCTGTTTTATTCAGGGTCGGTGGGAAGATACTAGTGAGCTGTGATAGATCACTAGGCAGGAGAAGGGAACCCTTTTGATGATGGTTAGTTTCCTACAGGTAACAGTAAGAAACCATCAATCTTTGGGAGGAACATTTAGAAGGAAAGAAAGAGCAAGCATGTGTGATGCGCAATCCAAGAACGCTTTCCTGCTATCAAGAAACAGACACCACTGTCATCTTTGCAATGTTTAGCTAGTGCAATTGAGATGGATGCAAGGATGCTGTTTTGAATGCTGCTCTGAACAATAGGGGCAAACTTGCATGTTGGGTATCAGGCAGCTGGCGAGTTCTAGCATCTCAAC